CAGGAGGGGAAGGTGTTGGTTGAGAAACGGGAGTGGACGAGGGCGAAGTGAGCCTCGTAGTCGGCGTTGACGAGATCGTAGTAGTACTGGTACACCTGGACGGGAGACAGCTGTCCCTTGTAGACAATGTTCTTGTTGGAGAGGGAGCAGAGGTAGAACCAGTTCTGGAGACCAATGGTGTGGGTGGCGCGCTTTCTGAGGACATACAGCTGTCTTTCGAAGAGTCTGTCATCAAATTGCTCGGGGTCGGTGTTTTCGGGGGCGTTGGTCGGGCCGTAGGCGGAGGTCAACACGACAAAAGGTTGCATAATGATGGGTTCACGGGACTTGGCAGCAGGACCAAGCAGAGTCGAGTCAACGGGAGGCCTTCGCCATCCCAAGACACGCAGGCCTAACGATTCGGCAATGTCTTCCAACTGCCTCTTGGACTCTTGCAAAGTCTCCTCGTCTGGCTTAAAGAACAGGTTTCCCGTGGCATATTGTCCCAGAGGCGGCAACTTAATGCCTTCCTCCTTTTCAAAGTTCTTGACAAAGAATCTATGAGGGATCGAAGTCATGACGCCAGCGCCATCACCGTCTCGTGCATCAGATCCCACAGCACCTCTGTGGGTCATGTTGCAAAGCAGGTTGCGCGCTGTGAGACTGGTTAGCTTGGCTGCTGGGCGAACATTGGGCTAAGGGGATTATTGAACTCACCATCGCTGACAATCTTGTGGCTAGGCTTGCCCTTGATGTGGCTGCGAGAGGTGTCAGTGGTTGCCTGTGTAGAGTTGAGAACAGTTCTCTGTCTGGTCTTTTAGACATACCAAGCAAAGCCGACACCGCATGCGTCTTTCTCCAAGCTCGGATCGTACAATCCTCTGCGTTCGATTGTCAGTATGGACATGTTCGAAATGATAAGGCGAGGAAACATACTGCTTCACCGGCAGAGCACCCGCCCAGGAGCCATTGTTGTCCGTCTGGTACTCATAGGGAGTGTATTGCTCTTTCTCAGATTCAATATGGATTTGTCGGTCGTCGAAGTCCTCGTGCAGGCCCATGCTAGGCGAGGATTCGAGCCTGATTGCAGTGGAAGGGGCTGGTATAGGTCGACGGGGGAGGGACTATTCCAGTCGGCAGCAGTCGATCGATAGGAGCAATGGCTCTGGTACGAATCTATCACGCCCCAAAACGGGTTCAGTTAGTGACGCTGAGGGACGAATATGTGTTGGTCAAGTATGATTTTGGTTCGATGGTGGTAAAATGAGGGGGAGTAAACGCCCAATGGCCAGACACAGGGTTGCACAGAGCACAGGAGTGGTCTTGGGCCACGCAAGAGACAGAGAGAGATAAGGCGAATGGTTGACGGTGAGTTCTGAGAGTGAGAGAAGAGTGGCGAAGAGGAATCGGTGGAGGAAATTGGATGCGGGGTGCGATATCCTTCAGTTAAGCTCGGAGCTGGCGAGGGACGCACGGAGGACCAGAGGGGAAATTTCCAGAGCAGGCCAAACTCTACTCCCGAACCGGATTGCTACGTCGTCCGGAAGTGAGGGAGCATCAGGTAGACTGGGAGCAAGAGTGAGAGAGCCTGGCGGTGGTATTGACTCCCGACCCCTGTTCGCAACGACGTAAAGCCAAGAGGGTAGGACAAGCATTCCGAGCAACAATGCGCAACTGGCAGCAAGCAGCAGCACATGCCACAAGCAATGGCGGCAGAACATGGCTCTAGTAGGGGCATTGTCGGTAGCAGTGGGAGCGAGGCAAGATGAGGCGAGCAACGCTCAAACCAAGCAATCGAAGCCGAACATGGAGGGGCAGGCTAGGACAAGAGCAAGCAAGCAGCTGGCAAGCAAGACTTCAGCCGTACCCATCCAACCCAAAAGCAGCTCAGACAATGGAGGGTCAGGCAAATGCAAGCACTGCCAGATGCCAAAGGCTGTTGGGTGCTGTCTCTCTTTCTTGCCGACCACAGCTGACGATGATTGCGGTGCCAGTGTCAGGGTGCCGTTTGCCAGTGCCAGTGCCAGTAGCGCAGCATTGCAGAATGCGGTGCCGGCGTGGGCTGTGGTCGTAGCCAATGAGAGGTAAGCTGTTGCCAAAGCATGCGGCTAAGAATGGTGACGCCAGTAGCCGGCCCCAATCTGCCGTAGAAATGGGGGAACAAGCACATGGTCGCACACGCCAGTCCCGCCCATACTAGGCCGCCACCGGCCGACAACCCCTCCAAGATTTTTTTTTTTTTTGGTGTGTTGTTTTGGCTTGGGGGGTTGATAGGCGATTGCAAGCTCCATTCCCGCGGTGACCTTACATCACATCCACAGGGATTACGACCAGGGGTCGCTCGTCTGGGCCTACGGGTGTGTGGGGTCGTCTGCAGTCGTACATAGTCGCATGCCCAAGGGAAAAGGGTGCATGTGTAGCGCTGTGCAGGAAAGAATGTGCGGCTGTCCCAGAGAAAGAGAGTTGGGACGGAGGACGGAGATGCCAAATTCGCTGCGAATTGATGCGCCGTCAGATGCCATCGCCGCTGCCGCTGCTGTTGCTCTCTTCAAAGCCATTGGTGTTGCCAATGCCGCTCTTTCGTCAAAAGTATGGCTCAGACTCGCACAGCCGTTTTCGTATGAATTGGTCTCGTCAAGTGCTGCTTTCTCGGTGTCTCGCTTGTGATCCTCGTGTCTCTGTCTGTTCGGCTCCGATTTCTCTCACATATTCAAGCTCTCTGCTTCGATTCTCGTCTCTCCTGTGTGCCTTGCTGTTGGGCTGAATTGGGTGGTTGGTGGCATTGTGTGTAAGGCAGGTGAAAGGTAGTGGGAATGGCATGGCCGTGTCTCGGGTCTTGAGACGGCGGTCCCTATGTGAGCGCACGTATATAAAACTTACCGACAGGCTTTGGGTATTGTAATGGACCGAACGTGGTCGAGATGTTTGCGCAGTGGGATCGAGAGGGTTTCTTTTCTACCGTCGTAGCACCGCGCGTGAAGAGTGGGAGGGCGGAAGAAAGAGAAAAACAGAAAAGGTGGGAGGTGGGAGGTGGGAGACTGGCAGCCTTTTATTAAGATTTGGTGTATTGGTCCAAGTGTGTGGGCGAAGACGGGAGAGAGAGGAGTGGATGAAGAAGGAGGAGGAGTAAACGTCCTGAGTCGGCGCTGGACCCAAGCTGGGGGAGGGGTGGTTGGAGGGGGTATCGAGAAGAGGCTAACAAGATGGATGGGAAGAAGGCGATCGCCGGCGGCCACCCGAACGACAAGAGAACGCAAGACCAGAGGAAGCCAATGCAATCTGGATGAATAAGACGATCCTGTATGGAGACATGAAATTGGCACATAGTAGGAAAACGGGGCAATGGGTTCGGGGAGCACGAGAGCGAAGAGCGGACGAGGCGCGGAACGACAATAACACGGCAAGAAGGTCCTTTTCGGGGATACTGGCGCTTTCCTGCCAGAAACGACCGATGGGCTGGCTCAGGTTCTCACTTGCCTTGCTGCTTTTTTCACCTTGTGGCAAGCCGACCAGAGAAAGGTTCAGCCAACCAGTGGCTCTCTTGGCCAGAATGTTGATCCACTACTCAAGGTACAAGCAGACAGGCAGGCTAAAGAATACCCGTCTACTGGAGAAAATCATACGGCCCCTCCCCTGGTAATTTGCGAGGTGCAGTAGGCTCAAGTGCTGGTGTTGCATATGCGCTCTGCCTCTCTCTTTTTCTCCCCCTTCTCTGCGGCTTTCCTGTCGTGTTTCTACGTTTACTGAGAGGGGAATGGGCCGAAAAAGAGCAGTGGGGGTTTGCAGCATGCAAAGTGGGATGAAATGGGGGTACGTACCAACCCCAAATGCAAGAGCTAAGGGAAGGTAGCAAGTTGCTGCAAGAGGCACTGAGATGGGATGAGAATGGGAAGGAAAGGCACGACCTCGTACCTAGGTACCGAGAAGGAGAGACGGGAAGTCATGCAAAAAGGCGGCAGGAGCAGCGGCAGCAAATGGAACGGGAGGAAAGAGCCCAAAAGAGGGGTACGTATCGGTGAGAGAGGCTCCGTGGACGGCGCGGCTGTGTCTGTGCGCTGCTGCTGTTGCTGCCTTCCTCTCGGGCGTGTCGGTCTTTCTCTCCCATCCCATCCCATCCCATCAGGGTGGCCTTTTTTCTGTTCTCGACAGGTACGCTTTTTTCGAAAACCAAGCAGACACGGACTGCCTGGAAGGTGTAAGACAAAACCATACTCCGTAGCATGGTGGGGTCCGAATAACTTACGCAGTACGGATCCCTTAGCGGGGCGAAGCGCGGTCCAATCAATGCATCGATCAATCCAACACGTATGTCTTCCATTGGCGGCGTCTGGCGAGAGTCTCCAAATCTCTGACTCTTCGACAGCGCACTAACAGAACGGGACCCGTGGGTTGCTTGCGGGTGCCACTCTCCGCCCCGCCTCCGGTCCATGGGGCATGCGTCGTCTTCTCTCCTGCTCCGTTTTTCGGTCCATAATCCATCTCTCTTCAGTGGGCTCGCCGCTCCTCTCCACTGGCCCCTAGTCATCCAAGTTGATGCTACCATCTCCACCATGCCACCACCCTGCTAGCCTCCTTGCCTCCCACGACATGGCCTGGGAAGCTCGCCGCTGTTCGACTGTTACCATGCAGCAAACCTTGGAAATAACCCCTTCAAGGTGGCCTGTCCACGGCTGAGCATGGCCTGAAAGTGGACCGGTCCAGCGCACCATTCTGCCCCTCCACGGCTCTGGCACGCCGCACTTCAGGCCCAGCTCGACAATCAACCGCACGGCTGTTTTCACAACGCTGCTTCTGACGGGGGACCATGCTCTTGGGAAATGGAATGGAAAGCCCCCCTTTCCCCTCCTCAGTATTACTGAGTCCTCCTAGAAGCCACATGCCGGAAAACACCGCACATCGGCCAGAAGCAAGACACCATCGACACCACCTACCTGCCTCGGGAAATGGCCATTCAGAGGGATTGACGGCCAGCTCATCATAGAACGACCGCTTGTACCGTCAATCTCAGCCTTCTCAGGCCAATGTCTCGGCTTCTGATTGCTACACAGCAACAACTCCCGGCATCCCACGCTTCCCCGGAGCGCCCTCGCTCACACTTTAGTCTTCAAGATGTTCATGATCTTCCGCCACGTCAACCTCGATCGACTTTCCTGGCCGTCGGCTCGCCCTTCACCCACCATCCTAATAATCGATCCACCCACTCGCTACCTCACGCTTCCTCGCCAGTCTCTCCATTGCCCCAAACCTTCGTCTCATGCTACCACCAAAGGCAATACGTGCCGCCAATCTACTTCCCCATGCGCCACCACCACCTCTCCAGAAATCTAACTGGGGCCCTCCCACCACGGCGGACGTGCCAACGTTGCTCTGCGGGGTCCTCCCCTGACCGTTGGGTAGGTATTCCGTTACGCCGTACTACCGGCCTGGCAACGCTTCACCCCAAATCCGCAATGATACTGGCTTTTCTTTTTTCTTCATCGTTGGTCGAACGACATTGGGTTCAAAACCTCGAGGTAAGACTCTAGATTACCTAACGTACAGCCCGGCCGCCTCATCTGGGGGGGATGGATCACGACAAAAAGCGTTCCTCATCTTGCTAGGTCGATGCTGCCGACATTGTTTGAGCCAAATTGGCACTCCACAAACTTGTCCTTTGACCGACAAACACAGCTTCCATTCATTTCATTCCGTTCGGATATTCCGCCCGGACCTAGCGCGAGGAGATGCCACGCCTCGGGAGCCATATCCCATATTCCGCCTGGGAGTCTTGGCCAATAGTGGTGACCCAATTTCAGATCGATCAATTTGAAGAAGATCGGGTCAGTGTATATGAAGCCGGAGGCAAGCGGAGCCTTTTGCTGTGTACATAGTCCGTGGCTTAATGGCTTTTTCTGCCCGCTGCTGGGCTTGAATACACATCAGAAAAACACAGACCGCCATGCCTTACTTTGCCCTGCGGATCAAACGCTGTGCGCATTTGTGACTTGCTTCGGATGCATTCCGAACGCCATTCAGCGCTGCGTTTGCTCTACTCGAGGCATATGGAAGATATCTCGGGTAGTCACCCGAGACGTGTACGCAGTGCTGCAGTCTACCAGACGCGACAGTGGACGGTCAACTTCTTCCGCACATCCCGGACAAGCAACGTCCTATGGTTTACTTGGCCACTCTGGCGAATCCCTTTCCGTTCAAGCGTCGCTTGCGGAATACTGTGTGTAAGAGAATTTTGACACAAAAACCCAACGCCTCGGCGAAAACCAGCAGCAGAGATGCACCCCACACACTCCATGCGGGCCAAGCAGGGGGTACCCAGTCGTTTTTCGCTCTCTCGAAACGGAGTCGTTGTCATCAACGAGCAAGCTTTGAGCTTGCACCAATCAGCGGCTTGTATTTCAAAGAAGCCCTTGGCCGAAGTCGCCTCGGATCTTGGGGCCCCTGATAAACCGCAGGATGCCCCCAAGCAATTGGACCCGGACCCTTCTTGGACATGGGCCACTCCAGCATCGATGCAAGTGATTGGGGGAGCAAGTTGGGGGAGGGGATGGTGTTGAACATCTGTTCCATTTCAAAGGCGCGCTTGCACATGCTGATGGAAGACTTACTTGTTATTACATTGCTAGCGTGCAGAACCAGCATCTGTCGACTGGGCTGGCTTCAATGTCTCGCGGCCCTGCATGCACTATCTGTCATTGCTGCACTATCAGCCGGGGCAGGTCCAAAGATGACGGTTCTTGAGATCAACCAAGCTGCGTCAAGAACTCGATGTTGCGCAGATTCCGAGCTGTTTCCGAAATCCTATCACGAATGAGAGTGGTCGGTATATCTCTTGTTTGCCTATCAGCCCTCCGATCTACGGAACTTGGTGGTGTCCACGGCCGGCTCGACGGCAGCGGCCGACGAAGGACCAGGGGGGGCATCTGGGCTGCGACCTGTATCTTTTCCTCAAGCGCCTGCGGCGGCATTGATCACGGATACCGATGGACGGACCGACTGACAAATGGAACCCCAACACAAGATCCGCTCAGCGAAAGGACGCAGCTTGACTGCGGCCTGCTCCGCGAGAGCGATGTTCCAGGCGCGACGCACGTCGCAACTGCAAACAATACGGGCTTTACTGGAAGGCTAACCAATGGCGGGCAGCACCGAGCAAATGCAGACAGGGAGCGGCGCAACAGCAGAGAGACGGGATAGGAAGAACGATTCTTTGCTGTACAGAATGGCGCTCGAAAAGGTAACTAGTCACCCTCTTCTCCGGCATATCATCGACTGGCGAGTTGGGCGTCTGACTGCATTGCAGCATCGACAGTTGTTGCCCAAATCGAAAAGGGTTGCTGTCAAAAAATCGACAACTTGAAATTGGAGAAGCTGGCCAATCACAACTAGAGCCTCATCTTCAACCGTCTTATCTTGAGCCAACCAAGATGGCCGCTTGCTGCATCTGCATCTGAGCTATAGCGAGCCAGGTATGCCCCTAGTCGGCACATCCATGCCAAATGCGACCCCGCCGACCGGAGGCGTTCGAGATCTCACAGTTCCTTGCTCAGCACGACCCTGTCTGTGTACACGCACAGACATTCGTGGTCTCTTGGCTTCTAGAGCTGGAGGGGAGGGTGAGAGAAGGAGAATGAGGGGGCCATCTCCGACGGGATTCCAACGTTCAAGGTAGCCTGCTGAGAAGCGGCACAGACATGCCAGCCACATGAGAGACACCATCCGCACTCGGCGATGAACCACTTGGGAGCGACGCATGCATGGGCTACGTCACAAATGTCACCGATGTGCACAAAAAGATGCTTATTCACACACGCACGCAAGTACATACCACAGGTATTTTTTCCCCTCTCGGTTTAAAGTTTGTGAGAAAAGCTGGTCGTTCCGGGACTCACTTAGGGTTTCGCAGGTTAGCCTGTCGACCAGCACGTGTCTGCATCCTTGATCTGGATGGACAGAAACTACATACGACCTGGAAGCGGTTACGATCACCTATGCCCTCCTGGAGCAACCCTCCATCTCCGCATTTGAGCAGCAATGACGCTTCAATATTAGAGGAAGTCGTCTCATATTGGATCCATACAGTCGGCTAGAACACGGGGACGAATGAACAGCTCGGTGATTCTAGTCACAAATCAATTGTCCGGCTACACATGTCAGTGACATATCAAGCCCCATACTCGGAGCATGTTTAGCGGGCTCCTGGTCAGCAACTTGAACAACAGGAATTATAAATGTCTGGTCTGGCTTTGGAAATGGTTGCTACGCATCCATTCTTTCACGTCCTTGTGGAGTTTGTCACGACACGAGGCGAAGCTGGGTGACGGGTCCGACATGGCATCTGCCATTTACCCATAGCGCTAACCAAGCCCCCCCGAAGTCGGCTCGGCCGTTCACCCTTACTAGGGCCGGGCGGATGTAACCCCTGGCTGGCGTTCTGGGACCTATATCGGAGGCGGCCACGCCCTCAGACCCAATCCATACCAACTTGCAAGGGGGTGTCTTGCTTAGTTGCTCGGTAGCAGGTCTAGGACAGAAGCGAAAAATTAAACGGGCAGAAGAGAGAGTCCACTCGAGTCAGCCCACGGCCGCGAGGAATTCCCACAAAGCGGAAATATGGCATTTGAAACCTCCACTTGCGCAGCCAATGCCAGCAACTCCGAAGTCAGCGCTGGTCCGACTTCTCCCGACGAGACACATCAGAGCGGCGCGGGGCGAATGCGCTGGTCCCTCATTTCCCCGTCGCTATGCAAATCAATGGCAGACGAGAGTCGACGCAGAAGCGCAGAGAATGTAAAAAGATGGAAAACGAATCGAACACCCCTGCTTTTTCTTACCAAACAAAAACAGTAAACCCCCGTGGAAACGAGGAGACGCAGGCACCTGAGGGCTGAGCCCACGCAGTTTGGATGAAACCTAGTAACCAAGGAGCGCATGTTCAACGAATTCGGTCTGAGATTGATGCGAGGCACGCCGTATGTACAGCAGTTCTGGCGGTGGGAACTGGGTCTAAGCCCCGACGGAGGGAAGAGTCATTCGGTCAAACTGGCGGAGACTCTCAATTGGGTTTGAGCATATTTTTATTTTTCAGATGCTTTACTGTTAGCCTGACGGAGGGGCATGGAAATGGCAGCCTCTCAGGCACCCACACATCACTTTGCGATGAAGCAATCGTGACTGTGCTGAAGTATGGCACACTTAAAGACATGTCGTTGAATTTGTGAGGCAGACGACCACATTTCTGCCGCCCGCAATGAAGCATCGTGACTTCTTCTTCGCAGGGATTAAGCGCGCTAGACGCGGCGCGTCTGCCAATGTGGGGTAGACCCTTACACCCCCCGGCAAGTACGTACTGTCGAATTGTTTACTCTTTGCAACCTCGCGACAAGCAACTTGCAGCGGGGTCCTGTGCCATTTGCGACGAAAGCTCTCGACAGCTACGAAACAGCTTCCATTCAGCTTTCTCTGACATCAATTCCTTTACGCGCATCAAGTCATTGAAACACCCGCAATCCTAGAGCATTGCCTAACGGCACCTTGCGAGTCACAATGTTTGGCCTCTTACCAGACCTCACCCCACGAGACGTAAGCTCCCTCTACCTCTATTGACATCTCCATAAGCATCCATCTCGCTCCTCCATGCAACTATCGCGACAGCTATCTAACCTCATTATCAACAGTCGCACTCGATCTGGTACACCTCCTCCCGCAACCCGATAACCCAAGCCGCCCTCCTCGAAGCCCACGAACACAACAACCACCATGGCTCCGCACAACAGCAACAGCAGCAACAGCAACAACAGCAACAAAACAGCTCCTCCTCCCGCCGCGCAGGCCAACTCCTCATCGAGCGGTCCGCGCTGGCACGCCTCCGCGCCGACGAGCACACAATGGACCGCCGCAGGCTGCACGTGCAAAATTTCGGGAGCACGTGGCTGAAGCCGCCCGGCGTGCCCAAGACGCTGCACCAGATCCGCGAGGAGCGGCGGGAGCAGGAGGAGCACGCCGAGGCCATGAGGCGGGAGCAGCTCGCGCTGGAGCTCGCTGAGGCGGAGGCGGGCGGGCAGGATGATGATGGGGGGCTGGGGGTGCTTGGGGAAGGGGAGGATGGCGAACAAGGAGAGGAGGCGAGGGATCTGGATGACGAGATTCCGGATGCTGCGGAGGAGAGTTTTGGGTTTGATGGCGGGGAGGATAGTATGGCGGATGATTTGTCGTCGAGTGAGGGGCGGCCTCTTTCACTTGATGACAATGATGATGAGGAGACCGAGGAGGAGGAAGACGATGACGACGAAGATGACGACGACGCGACGGCCGTGGACGAGGACGAGTATGAGAGGCGAGATGGCCTCGTCGCGGCGAGGATGCGCATGGCGGACGACGCCTTCAGACAGGCCTTGGCGCGGGGCGACGTCGACGGCGACGACATGTACGGCGCCGAAGAGGAGCTCGAGGCATCGGGCCAGGGCCAGATGCTCGACGAGGAGGACCTGCTCGAGGACGGGTTTGCCGCCGAGGGCGTCGTCGATGACGACGACTTGGGTATGGGCGTCGATATGGACGCCGACCTGGATGACGAGATCCCCGAGGCCGAGGGGCTGAGCGGGGTATATGAGCATACGGACTCCGAGGCCGAGGTGAGCGGGTTGACGAGTAGTGTTATTAGTAGTGGCGGGGAGGAAGATGATGAAGAAGACGATGACGAGGAAGGGGATATCAGTTTTGCGCCGAGGGCTGCGCCTTTGAGGGCCCCGTTGAGTCCTACTGGGGACCGGGGGAGGGGTAGCGCTGCTGGTGCTGCGAGGCATCATCATCATATGCCGAGGAGTAGTCTGGATCTCAGCGGGTTGCTTTCCGCGGACGGGAGTAGTATGATGGATAGTAGTCCCAACATGAGGGCTCATAGGCGTTGAAGGGGGTGGTGAAGAATGGGAAGGGAAGGACAGAGGAAGATGGAATTATGATACCCCCCCACCGGTTCCCATACATTGTTTCGGGCGGCATCCAGCGATAGACGTGAACATGTCCTCGCCTTCACGAGTCTTTATAGAAGCACAGCATGCATACACCAGTCTGAGGCGTTGGGGCAACAATAAAAGTTCGATTTGAAATCTTGACAGAAATGCAAAAAGGCGTGGGCACCAGAGACTCGGTGTCGAAGGTTTATAGAAATATAAAAGAGGTAGGTGTATGTATACACGGCCATTACAAAAGCTTTTAATCTGTGTCCTCAATACTTGACAAGTGAAAGGGAAATCGCGCCTTCTTCTCACCCTTCTCCCCCCTCTCGAATGGTATGCAAGAGACATCGCACCTCCACAGCAGAAAAGAAACCATGCCGTTCTGCCATTCTGTCCCTATTTGGTTCGTATCAGGATGTCCTTTTCGTGATCGTTCATCTCTTTCCTCGTGTCCTCAATGCTTTGAAAAGGAAACCAAAATTGTCGGGCCCTCCACGAGATTCTCGACCCTCTCTCTCTCCCACTCCCGTGCAATGAAGATGATTCCAGGCAAATAGAACCGTTTAGAAAACGCCTCCGACGCCGAGCATGCAAGAATAATGGGTTTGCTTCCCAACCAAACGCACCGCACCATTCCGGGAAGGCTATTGGAGCCTGCCCCTCACCCCTCTCTTCCAGCTATGTTTTGCTGTCTTGTCCTTTTGTGTTGAAGATTGGCTTCCTCGTTTCCTACGTCTAGGACGTTTGACATGAACAGTCCTTCGACCTCAGTCTCTTGAGCTCGCAGGGTTCTCCCATGTCGACAGCCTCGGTAAAGCCCACGCAGCAGACGGCCGTTCACCCCTCCGAGCTTGAATAGTCCCAAACTTGTAGGAGGCAATCCATAACCACGCTCGTCTCCCCGACATGACGGATAAACCGCGCGTATCGCCTTTCGCTTTGGTCTCGTCGATGTCGTAGTCGTAGTCGTCGATGCAGGCTACGCTCTTAGAATAGCCAGACGTACATGAACAAGAAACACACAGCCGCGAAGAAACCGAGCCAGACCTTCCAGCCGACGCCCGTCTTCTCCGCCATGACGAGCATGCGGTTCATGGTCCCGCGGATGCGCAAGCGCGTCGAGTCGAAGCTGTCGTTCATCTTCTCTGCCAGGGCCGAGGAGTCGCGGATCTCGTCGCCAATGGCAACCGTCATCTGCGTGTCTCACGGTTTTAGTCTCCTTCTTTCGTGTCGGGATTTTGTTTCGTGGAAGATGCGGTTGAGGCGGAACTTACGCTCTTCAAGATCTTGACTTTGCCCATGATACCCGCGACCTGTTCATCGTTCTGGCTCTCGAGCTCGTTGAGCACGGCGTCGCTGTACTGGCCGCTGATATGTCACATCCGTCAGCAAGTTGTCCCAAGCTTGAACTGCTTCTCCTCCGCTTCTCCAGTTGTCCCATCGCGAATGCAACCTCCCTGAACCTCACAAGCGGGACTTTCAAGGGGGCGATAGGGTGGTCTGGTTCCGTACCGTTTATTCGGCGTCGCAGGCCGGAACCCCCGGTTCGCGTCAACACCGAGGTGGCTACCGCCCATGGGCGGCGCAGGTGATGCGCTGCCGCCCGCGTACCCGTATCCGTATCCACCGCCTAGTCTAGATGGCGAGGCGCTGACAGGTCGTCGGCCATTGTCGCTGCCGCCGCCGGTGTAGCCTTCGAAGAGGGCGCTGCGGGAGTCGCGCTGATGCAGCGAGGAAGCGCCGAATCTGTGTGTTGTGACGAGTTAGCCCACTGTTGATGACTTTTCCCAGATGTGAATGCCATGTGTCGTTGCGCAAGACGGGCGGTCGGTACGGTCTCGCTGGCGGTTCTGTTCGTTCTGTCTTGTGGAGAGTTCATGATCGAGGGGTGGCCTGTCGTCATCGCCACTTCGTTGTCCCCAAGACGAAACTCCTCGCCTTCCTCTCTGGTCGTGGGGACCGCCTAGGAGCACAAGAACGTCGCAAGCCGTAACTACCCACCCCGCCGTTCCGAACCGCATGTGTTGCGTGTGTGTTGGGTATTCTGTTGAGTCCAGTGTACGCACCTTTGAGCCATGGTGTCCTAACCGTCGCGTCCTATGTTGCGCGCGCACAACTGCTGCCTCGAAGCAAAGAAAAAAGTATCGTTATTTGGGTAAGGGTGTGTTACCGGGCGTCGTCCGCGACAGCAACAATGATATGTCTCGAATACTCGAGGAGTTGTCGTTTTGTTGAAAAGGGGTGTAGGTGTTTTGATGCTAATTAAACAATCCCGACAACAAGAAGCAACTTTTTTTTTGGTTGGTCCTTGTACTCCGTAAGATAGATACTTGTTGTCCCTTCTCAGAACCCCTGGAGGTTGTGTTGTCATTCAATGTCGGTCCGGTTAGGTTGGTAAGGTGGTGTGCTAGTAGCAGGGGTCTATGCTATGCGGGCAGGGTGTTCGTAGGTATGTGTCGAATCTCGGCTGGGCGATCTCTATATTTTCCCTTTTAGCGCGCTCAAACTCCCTCCTTTGACGTCCACAGTGGGTTATAGGTAGTCAAAGCAGCGAGGCGAACTTGCTGGGGCTCATGTGTGGGAAAGGGGAAATAAGAAGCGCCTGACACGGTGAAAGTTCGCGTAAAGTACTTTTCTTTACAATGAACGACGAGAGAGGGGAAGAAACGTCCCTCGGTTTCCTGTCCACGTCTACTATTACTTTACAACTCCAACAAATCCCATAGTTTCCCCAAAAGCCCGTCCCGCTAACAGTCATTTGGGTACGTGTCGTCCCGCTATCCAATCGAAAACGGAGAAGAATCTTAAAAGCCCCGACCAAGGCATCAAAGGACACAAGGAGATACCCTATAAGGTACAGTATGAAAGCGGGTGTCCCTTCCTGGGTCCGGCTCCGACTGGAAGGCTCCCCTCGGCTGTTGACAGCGGAGGGAATGGACGGGCCTACAGCAGGTACCTGCCTACCTAACTTACCTGAGGTATGACGCCCAGGCAAGCAGGTACTCACCTCAAGTAATCACCTTCAATCTGTGTCCCAGCTACCAGCCGAGAACTTGCGCTCAAGAAACTCGTCTAACATCTGATTGTTTACTAGAGGAGAGTGTGACAGGTCCCTGAAAAAGTTTTGTTTACATTAACTGCACCTGTACTATGCACGCAACTTGTCAAGAAAGTGCACGTTGCTTCAATGTCGGGTACTAAAGTAGCTCTGCTTCATGCACTGATCCACGATCGAGCTGGCAGGTGGATGAGCTCTTCCCGAACTAACAAGAATTTTGCTGCGAAATAAAAACACGGGCGTCGCATGAACCTATGCCACGCCCACAACATCATTCACTCCACAGGTGCTAAACATGCACAAGTATTTGGGACCGCTCATTGTCGCATAATCTTCATTTCCATAGCACTCGTAGTAAAGGTAGCGACACCGCGCGCTGAAACGGCCTGATGAAATAGACAGCCATCCCGCCGAACCAAGATCAGGCAGGGTGGGCAGAGCAACAGCAGATCAACGAACGTCGCCGCTGCCGCCGCCGGGGGAAAAAAGCTGCAATATCAACCGAACTCTCAGCCGCCAATGTCCAAACCCACCAAGTCTTTTCATCGACGCAAGGGGCATGCAAATGATTATCGAAGCCCTCGTATAACTTTTGTGTAAACCATCCACCGCCCCTTCTTTGCATTCCGTTTTCTGTCGTGTGTGTGTCGTGCCGTTTCCCAATAACCGTCATGAATGGTGAGGAACCATCGCCGCCGCCCGCAGCCGCCACCATGTTAAAGGTAGGCAGGCCAAGGGGGGCTGTGCGAAGGTCGAAAGAAAAAGGAGGAGAATGGACTCGCTCCTTAGTCCTCATCCATCTTGGACTCATCGGCCGCGAAGTCATCGTCGTCCTCGTCATCATCCTCCTCGGCGGGGTTCTCCTCGGCAGCCTTGGCGAAATCGATGACACGGCCACGGGTGCGGCGTCCACCCTCGACAATGTTGTTCAGGTCAATCTCCTCCATGCCGTCCTCCTCCTCGACTGCAATTCCCAGGCATGTTAGTCACAGGAAATCGCAGGTGCGCGGTAGATTTGTAGCAGCCGCGGAGGTTCGTTCTTACCAGCCTCAGCGGCCTCGGGGGCCTCCTCCTCATCACTGGAGTCCTCGTCCTCGTCCATGGCGTCGCTCTTCTCGACGGGCTCCTCGGCGGCGACAGCCTTGCCCTTGCCCTTGATCTCCTCGGCGAGGCCAGCAGCGACGTTCTCGTTCTCGGCAGCCATTGTGTCTGTTTCGTGGATGTTGCGTGGTACTGTCGAGTCTTTGCGCAAAGGGAGAGAGTGAAGAAAAACAAGAAGTTGCTGTCGCAAAAAGTTGTGGTTGGATTGGGAAAGGTTTGGGGGGTGGGTTGTACGAAGGGAAGGTAGGTAGGAAAGGAAAGTGGAGGTGAAGCTTTGCGCAGGCAAATCGAAGGATTTATCGGTTCGATTGTACCTTCCCCCTGGTCCTGGTCCCAGCTTTTAAGACTGCAGTGCCTGCGAGGAAGGAGTGCCCTCCGCGCAAGGCTTGTGTGGTGTGCAGGCGACAGGCTCCCAGGCTCCCACGCTGCGTCTCTGAGCAACGAGCGCTAGCCTCAGATTGGGCTAGAGCTGAATCGCCTGCCGCGCCCGTGCCATGTCAAACCTGCCAGGTGCTTAGGCCGTGAGCTCTCTCATCTGAAGCTTCCAGTTCAATATGGAAAAATACGAGGCTCTGAGGCTTAGGATAACAGCTTGTTGTATTCCGAACCCAAATCGGAGTCTTCTTATCTTCAAAAATCATTCAGCTAGCTAGCCCTCATAAGTGTCAAAACATGGTGCAAGTCTTGTGAAGAGAAGCATCTCAGCATGTCATGGCTCCCAAATCAGTATCGGATCTTTGCCATGCGGTTGATCACTGTAGATATCTTTTGACGTTGCCTCGATCCTGTGGTAAGTAAGACATTCCTCTAGGTTAGGAACGTTGAGAACAATAGGCATCGTCCCGGAACTTTCAAAGGCCAGTTGAGACAGTTGAGATTAGGCACTTCCACTCATACAGGAGAAGCAGGATATGGGCACCGACACGATGCCATCAAATGACCAAGGTACTTCGCGGATGAACGTGAAAAAGTCTATTAGTGTATCTTCATCGTCGTGGTCTTCGTCTATTTTCCATCTCCTCCACCAGTGACAGTCATCAAGACGACAATCGCAATCAACCACCAGTACCTGCAAAGTCAACGTTAGCAAGCTCACCCACAGCCCAAGGAACCGGATAGAAGCAAATGCAACATACTTTTGCCAGAACGGCTTCTCCTCCTGAACGACCTTGCGTCCCTCGGGACTCAGCACAACAGGCTTGTTCAACTCGGGCGTCTTGCCCTGCCCCGCGACCCTCACAACAGCCTGCGGTCCAAAATCCCTCGTCGCGCCCGCGTCGACCCTCACGCCCTTCACACCCGCACCCACGACCTCGCCCGAGGCGCCGTCGACGCTCAGCACAATGTTGGGCTGGTACCCCTTGGCAAAGTTCTCCGTCGAGGCGACCGACACGCTCGAGGTCCACTGCGCCGTGGCGGCATCGTAGACGCCGACGCGGACGAGCTTCGTCGCGGCCGGGTAGCCGGCGAGCTCGGGGGCCTCAAAGGAGGTCACGCTCGCCTCGGTTGGGCGTTTCGTGTCGTACTCGACCTCGGCGAGGAGGGTCGGCTTCTGGTTGGTAGCGAGGGAGACGGGTTCGATGTAGACCTTTGCGAGGCGGGTTTCGGCGACGGCCAGGGTCGCTGCGAAGAGCGCCGACAGGATTGTTGTCGCGCGCATTTTTGTTGTTTGATTTCTCCGTCGTGTATGTGTAGGACCCCTTCTGAAAGGTGTGCCTGGGGAGAATGGCGCTGGGTGAGGTGTGTTAAGGTGCAATCACGGCGAGCAATTGTCAGATGGGGGTGGGATGCTGGATGGGGAAGTTCTATGGAGCTCTGCTGGGTTGAAGGTCGCCCGGGGTAAAGTCGGCTGAACGAACACCTGTACCCCGGACTCACTCGAGCTGCCCCCAAATAATCACTGGCCTACTCTCTCTGGAAGCTTCTGCTGGGAAAGAAATCAGGCATTCTTTAACGCATTCAAAGGTGTCATGTCATCGAATTCAAATCGCACATGATTATAGAATCATTCAGAACAGTGTGGTATTCATTACCGCTATCACTCATAACCATTCAAAACATCCCACCTTTCCAAACGCCGCTTTGCCATGCCTCTCTGGCAGCAGTGATGCCCGCCCTTTTTTAACAGAATGGAATCGACAAACAAAGATTTACCCCTGAAACTCTCTTGGTGGCCGTTATGAGGGTTGCGATGGCCCTGCTTCATCCCCATGTGGCGACTTAGCCGGGCTCTCTTCGTCCGGCGAGTCTCCGCTGTCGTCAGCAACTCCGTCTGAAATCTCTGTCGATCCATCATCTTCGACTTCGTCAGAATCTTCATCTTCGTCAATCGCTTCTGCTTCTTCCTCTTGCAACGCATATCCTGGGCAGCGCTCAACGAGGCCGCGGTAGTAAGCCACAAGGACTTCTGGGTTCGGGACGATCTTCCAGTCTACCCTGTATAGAAATTCAAGCTCCAGCAGCTTGAGCTCGGCGACTCTAACGCCTCCAACTCGTGCATATGTTGTATTGTTCCAAAACAGATCCGATAGACCCTTGGCCGCCACAGTGGCAGCCGTGATCAGAAAGCGATGGACAGTCAGCGTATTGATGGTGAACTCTGGGTATAATGCGCAGAGACGGTCAATGTAGTAGACCATAGATAGCAGCAGAGGCGGGGTTAGGGTCGCATGCTTTGCCAATCTATTCAGATATTCCAGTACGGAGATGCTCGGTGCAGTTCTAAATACGGATTAGTGAGCGCTGCCACATCAGGGGCGACAGCTGGGAAAGGCTTTTACTCACCTCGAGTGGAAGCGAGTCAGGCTTCCGGAACGAAGAGCCAGAGCATCGTTGGTCTCTATCAACTCTGAGAGCATGTGGGATATGAGTACAACCATGTCCTCGGTGCTGCACAGCTCATATCGCTGAGGCAAGATTTTCGGCGGGCCAGCCGTGGGCTTTGGGCGCTTAGCCGCGCTGCTCGACGACTCGCCCGCTGCCGATGCGCTCGCCCGCGCTTGCGCGACGGCAGGATCTTGAGAGTTTCGACGTTTTCCGGGCGACGCGGTGGTAGTCGACGCCTCGCGAATGACGGGTGCCACGACGGGCTGCGGTTGTGACTGTATTTCTGTTTGGGATCGCTGATGGGGCTCTGGTTGCGGTTGCGGCGCGGTTGGGTCTATGGGTTGAGGGCGCGGCGTCGGCGGGGGCTCGACAGGCGTCGCAGGGACGGTAGTAGGAGTGCGCGGGGCGGTGGCATCTTGTGCCTTTTGGGTGGAAGACTCCATGGGAGAATATTGGGTGCCGGCGTCGACGGCTACATATTGTCGTGGGCGTGGTTGGGAGGAAGGTGAGGTCATTGAGGCTGCGGACGGAGAAGACCTTGATGCAGAGTGCCGCCGCGGCAAAGGGGCCGAAAGCCGGGCAGGAGATGAGTGCGGGGAGGATCGCGTAGGGGCATAGTGGAAGCTATTGGGCGAGGCATTGGCGGAGCTGGCGACGATGGGAGATGTTGTCAACATGGTCCCGGGCGCATCGTGGGATTTCGAGGACAACAGAACGAGGGGATCGGACGTGATTGCCAGAAGTTGGAGCTGAAGTGGCGGGATAAGGTGAGCGAGGTGAGAGTGGTGTAAGGTAGGTAGGCGCTCCTAAGGTAAGTTAGGTAGGTAATACCAAGTGTGAGGTGTAGTTGTTGGCGGTAGCGGTTCGGCGGTCGATAGGGTAGGTTCAGATTTGCAGATTGCCAGACCCCAAAATCAGATAGGCCACACACGGTCGAAAAAACCGGGATGAGGAGTGGAGGGGCTCGGTTTGCCGACGCCGTATGGTGGTGGTGCGCGTGGGATAAGGTATTAGGCGATGAGGATGGCCAGGCTGGGGAGGGGGGAACTGAGGTGGATTGGCGCTACAGCTGTCCGATATTGGCAAGTCACCCCCTTTGATACGGCGGCTGCTGGCAGGAGTCGTCTAGACGGCAGGTCGGCACCAGTTCCAGTAAGGTAGCAGTACTCCGTACCAGCCCATATCAACATCAGCAATAGAAGCGAGTGAACAGGAAGACGGTCACGAGAGAGGGAGAAAAAGAGTGGACGGTTGATGAAGGCATCCAATGTGCGAGGCAAGAGCCCCCAGGCAATCGCACCTTCCGTCCTGACTGCCCAGAATAAAGTACCTTAGACAAGTACCTTAGTTACGTACCAATATACGGAGTACCCAGTCGCCAACCAGTGGGATGGCCTGGGCTGCCAATGAGGTGCCAAGGACTTGGGACGTGGAGGGGCGCGAATCTGATTTTCTGCGGTCTCGGCACCAAGCCAAGCAAACCACGCTTGCGCCGGTGAGCCAGTCGTCTGCTGTGGGTTAGTGGGGAAGAGTCTTGACATCTGTACGTGGGCGAAAACGTGCTTTTCTGATTGTCACTGATTTCTCTCAGTCTCATTGCACTTCTCGCCCATGTTCTGTACCAATCATTGTACGGTATAACTGCGTATCCGCAAGGCAAGGTACATTTACATAGTACCTTACAGTTAGTTCTACATGACAGAGTACCCCAGCTTCGGCTCCAGACAGAACGCAACGCCAGGGGATGGGCTTGAATGTGTTTCCGGGCAGTCATGACATACTCGCAGAGCACATGGCCTTGCAGAGCTTTTCTCCTGGCCCTGCGTGCCCTGCGTGCCCTGGAAGCCGCTCATTGCGCCATCTCGTCCACCTCATCTTGAGGCCCTCCCGTCGCTGATTCAATGTCAAAGGTGGGCCGCTCTTCTGCTTCGGGACACCGAGCCATGCCACTAACGCTGCTCTGGCCCCGGCGCTGCAACCCTTCTACGGCTACTCAGGGCCGCCACGGGCCTCCCACAATAATGCCAACAGGGACCTGGCCGGTTACGGTTCGTAGCCTGGGGCCGGAGGCGCCGTCGAGCCTAGGCGGCTCAAATTTTTCGACGGATATGCGGGTTCAGATTATCATTTACGGAGGAACCAGTGGACCTTGGATCAAGCACATGCTTAGGTTCGGAGCGCGGAGAATGGAGTTATGGCGCCGACGTGTTCCACCAAGGGATCCAGCATGCTCCGCGACAACCTCTCCGGGCCTTTATCATCTTGAGTACCATGTAGGAAGTTGCTTCGCCGTGCGGGACCGTCCGCCGTTACGGCTTGCGGTCAGCTGCCACAGACTGCGGGTTTTATTACTTCTTATCGTGTATTTGTACCCCCTCGCGGTTGAAATTTCCGTTACAAGTTGTCCATTCGTCAGATGTCATTTATTATCTCACGCCTGGTACCCCTCATCTCACGATCGAGCCGCTATCTTGGTCAGATCAACCCTGTCTCATGCTTCAGTCGAATAATCTGTAGTTGTTCGGTATTGTGAACCGTGCAGTGCGTATCCTAACTAATGTCGCCGGCATGCTGTGTATTACGGAGGAACGTCCCAGTGCTTCACGGAGAGCTTCGGCTTTTGCAAATAAAGGGACTGGCCTTGGCCATATAAGGCCCCTGGACACCCTCAAGGTTGGCCTACCTATGCCCCGAGAAACATGAGCATCGGCCTGTCAAGAGACACAAGGAATAGCTCGACCACATGGGTAGGTACCAAGGCATCTCGCAAATCCGTCCTATCCTTTGAACACTTTCCAATTGAGCACTTAAATCAAGTTTAAGTTGGGCTTGAAATCAGTTGTACAAACGTAGGAGTGCCCAACGGTTTCCCTACGTATTTGTCTATACTTATAGCTGAGAAAGCGATATTGATGCAGGTTGAAAGTTCAGCCGACTCGGGACATCATTGTCTTCAGCCGATGGACAAAGGTCCTATGCCGATTCGCTGCAGTTGTCGAAGGTTGTTGGAAAGTCATCTAGCTCTAGATAGATGCTCACTGGATCTTTGCCGGCCTGTTACTGCCCACTCCCAAGAATGGTAAAAGTAAAAAAAGTTTGCCATATCACCTCATCACTCAACTCTAGACATATCTAGGTTCGAACAATTAGGGCCTCTATTTGAAGCGGGAATCATTCATAACCGCCAATTCGACCCTTAAATCACAGAGAAATGTCTCATTGAATGGATCTCTAGACTCATCGACGGAATCCCCAGAGGAAGGTTTGTCAGTCTTATGTTTTTCCTCCGTGATAGTAGGAGCTGGATGCTCCCAGATCAGATCAACTTCATCCAGGTGGCAAGCGCTTCTGCTTCGGGAAGTTTACCATGTGTAAGCCATACCATGTGGGGTATCGACAGGGTGGAAGGAGACAACTAAGCCGTGTTACAACCAGCCATGCTGCGGGGGATGGTCAAGGTTTCCAACTGCCTATCCTTCCTTCGGTATCTCATCTTTTTTTTCCTTCACTACTCACAAAATACGTTGGAACAAATACCTTTGAATGGAAGAACCATTGATGTTTGAAACAATCATATTATTCTCTAGCTTGTTGTTTCCGAGTGGGTGAATCAAAAAGCATGAAACCTCCTTCAGTATTCACCATGAAGACAACAGGACCGTTCATCACTAAAGAATCGCGAGAACACGGGCAAGCACCAGCACAGCACAGGCTTCCGCACTGACGCTCCAGGGTGATCCAAGCTTCAGCTAGCATGTGAGAATCCTGAAAACGGCTGGTAGCGATAAGAGAAATGCACGTGCCATACCCCAGTGCCAACGCCCGATAATCACCCAGTCTCCCAGACAGTCGGCCCTGTCTTGAGGTGATCAACCGCATCCCATCCTGCGAACGACATCCTGGTCTTCTGTCCATGGACATCCGATTTTCTAAGCCAAGCTCTCGACAACTTTGCAACTCATCCACAGCGTACAGCAACTAATTATCGATACATGTATTAGAGAAGAATCTATTCTCCTTCCGACTTTCCGCATAGCTCGACCCACGTTTGCCTGACCGTCGACCGGTTCGTAGGGACCTGGGGCTCTGACACAACCTCCGTCGCCGCAGCAGCACCACTCTGTCCTCGCAAGTACACGACGCGCTGGTCGACAACGACAACACATAGCCGAGCTCCTTAACGAATTGAGCCGACTTTTATCATGACACGCACGTCGAATCCACCAATCCTCTCGCAGCTCCAGAGCGCAAGGAGCTATGCCGAACAGACGAGCGCGCTGCGGGCTCTCAAGAACGATGTTGTCGGGCACGCACAGAAGAAGGAGATGTGGGCTGAGCTAGGCGCATTGGAACCCATTGTCAAGATACTCAAAGCTTCCCGGTCGTCGGCCAAGATCAACGGCAAAGATACCCGCCCAAGCTCCAACTCTCGGTGGTTGAACGAGGAAGAAACAGTGAGGCTTCAGGCTTTACAATTGTTGGCGAGCTTTGCCAATGGTAAGACTCACTTTCTCCAGCTTTTTGGTCACTTCTGAATCTAACTTGGGCATCTCCAGGAGGCACTGCTTTCGTCGAGCCGCTCCTAGCTGCGAGCGCGCTGCCAGCTGTATTGGATAACGTGTGTCCAACTACAAACGCTCCTCTGTTGGTCACTACGGCACTACGCGTCCTCCTCAACATCATCGAAGCTTCCACTTTGTCAACTACGAGTTCGCCGATAGACATGCAGGCGTTAGCCGAGGCCATCTTCGCATCCGAACATATCGATTCTTTCAATAGCATACTTTCTAGCACCGCAACTGTGTCCGAGCAACAAATTCAGGTACCGTTAGTGGCAAGCATTATAAGCCATTTGTGTCGAGATGAGAAACACCAATTGGCCATGGCAAACCAAGGAGTCATTGACTCTCTCGCAACTCGGTTGGCAAGCATTGCAGTTGCTGAAGGACATGTTGTTCCCTATGCCGAAGTGTTCGGTCGGGTGGATCGGATGTCGGACTTCATTCCGGAACCAGCGCCGTCCAGCTCCAACTTGGCTTCGATCTTGGAGGCATTGGCTGTCATCATCTCGGACTCCCGCTTCAGGGCCTGCATGTTGTTATGCTCGCCGGCTATCATGGCCATCTTCCCTGCTCTGAAATTCAACCCATCAAAGGAAGTCCGAGCGCCTTGGAACTCCCTAGAGGTTAGCGGTCTCGGATACGCACGCCAGCAGAACCTCAGCGCTCTGGACTATCTACTACCAGCAATCCCTATACATCAAGGCCGGATCCCTGGTTCGCAGCAGTCGCACTTTCCTGCTCTGGGTTCGTCCGAGGCGCGGGAGCGGGCTCGCTCAGCCGCAAGCAAGTACAGCTCTACGGCTTCCGTTTGGGAGACTTCCCGGTTCGAGCTATTCGGAAACGAGACAGAGCCGGAAGAAGAACAGGAGACTCCTCTGATACCGTGGCTGATACTCTTGGTCAGATCGCGACAGGGTCTGCATAGGCTGATGGCTGCTAATCTCCTCACTTCACTTTTCAGGTCTGGGTTTGGCAGCAAGTATCTGAGGGAGACCAGCCTCTGCCTTCTGGTTGTTCCTGTCCTTATGGAGATGCTCGAACAGCTTCAGGCAGCGCCGCCAGTAGTGAAGTCTCCCCTGGTTGATGCAGATGCGGCGCTCAAATGGACGATACTGGAGCGTACGCCAGCCATCCTTGCCCGTATAATCACAGATAGCGAGCCGCTTCAAAAGGCTGCTTTTGACTGCGGTGCCGTCAAATGTTTCAGCAAGCTTCTCAAAGACGCATATGAGCCAATCCCACCATCGGCTTACGCTAAGGTATGGTCACCACACGCCGATACTGCGATGGAGACCGAGAGCACCCCTCCCTCTCGCGCTCTGGGATCAGAAGGACAACCGCCACTCCTGGCTCACAGGGTGCGGATGCGAGAAAGTGCACTCAAGGCTATAGGGGCTCTGGCGGCCGGCAAAGACGAATATCGTAAGGCTTTCGTCGTGGAGGACGTCGTTGCTCACATTGTGCAATCATTATCGCCCACGCCCGGCAAGCCGTCGAATCCCAAGGATCGCAGCAAACCAAATGAACCAGATGGGCCAATCCGTGACGGATCCGCGTCTGACCACAATTCTGGGTACGGCAGTAACCCGCTGTCGGTCTTGATCGCGGGCTGCCACGCTGTGAGAATGCTGTCACGGTCGGTGAGTATTCTCAGGACGTCTCTGGTTGACTATGCTGTGGCCGTGCCTCTATTCCGGTTCCTCAGGCACCCGGACGTGGATGTTCAAGTTGCTGCCACTGCTGCGATTTGCAATTTGGTCACCGAAGTCAGCCCCATGAGGGAGGTGAGTGCAATCCCTGAATCGCCTCTATTAACGTGAACTATGCTAACCATCTCAGCTCCTGGCCGACCGGGGTGTGATGAAGATACTGTGTGAGCATGCGCATTCTCTCAATGCAGCACTGCGTCTCAACGCTCTCTGGGCATTGAAGCATTTCGTACATGCAGTTGACACCGACACCAAGAGACAATGTCTGGAAGAGCTTGAGTCTGGATGGCTTGTGCAGCTGATTTGTGACGACACGGAAGATGATGCTCTATTCCTTGCTAGGTCTAAGCTGGACAAGCAGAATGCAGTTGACACTGGAGACGATTTGGATGGCGATGTCGAGATGGATCAGGCTGATCCGCTGTCCAAGTCGTGGTTAGGTTCACAGGACGCAGACAGCAAACGATCGGCCAAGTTACGTCAAACCGAGGCAAAATTGGCAGCTCTTCGCGAGGCCGAAATCAACCCTTTGCGGAAAGCCCGTAACGACGACCTCGCCATTCAGGAGCAGGGCCTCGACTTCATAAGGAATTTGATTGGGGCAGGTGCATCTGGACCGCAACCTGATTCGTCAAGCGATACTACGGAGATGATTGAGTACCTTTTCAACCAGTTGGGGCAGGAAAGATTTTTTGATATCCTAGCCAGGAAGCTCCAGGCCAAGGTACTTCATCCAACGTCAAGACGGTCCACGGGTTCAGGACGAGAGGCCCGAGTCCTCTACCCTCAGGCCAAGATCATCGAGGCCGTTGTGTTCATCCTCGTTCACATGGCGGCGAGCACTCCGGGCCATCGACAACTGGTTGTTGCACAAACAGACTTGCTCAAGCTGTTGGCGAATCACTTCAATAGCAAGGACAAAGAAGTCCGGGTTGCCCTTTGTCACTTGATCAGCAACCTCACATGGCAGGACGACGACAACGATGCACGGGGATGCGCCCAAAGGGCGTACGAGCTTAAGAAGTTGGGCTTTCTCACCAAGCTTGAGGGATTAGAAGACGACAGCGAATTAGACGTGCGAGAACGGGCCAAGAGTGCAGTGTGGCAGATGAAGCAGCCTGGCACATACTAGTATGATAAGGGGTCTCGCTGGGAATATCAGATCTTGTTCCGATTACTGGTTATGCATGAGCGTCAACAGAGGTCGATGGGGCAACGGTAGCGGACTTTGGGTCAATAGACGGAGAGGTGTGTGAGAGCACATTGGTCCTGGGGTTGTGGTAAGGAGCGGATGCATCGTCGAGACAATTATCTTGGATTGGCTGGGTTCGCATGCATGTACGATATAGATGTACATGGAGTTTAAGGTAGCGTTACTGTACACGATGAAAGAGTACATGATGAATGATGGAAAGGCATGTGTCAGCGTTGACAGTCGAGACGTTCAAATAATTCAATGCCGAGAGTCGATTTGTGTGAAGATATGTATATGTCTTGAGGTTGTGATACATTTTGGACTCGTCTATCACTTCCATTCAAACCTTGTGTACCTCACCAGGCGTCAAAGGGTGATGTTCGTCCTTACTTATTCTGTATTACTGACAAGTACGAACAAACGTCTGCTTGGATTACAAAGAAATAAATAAAAAAAATAAAAAAAGTCTTCACCCCCGGTTGGGGCTTACATCTCTTGGTGAACTTGCTAGGAATCGAACTCGGAACTTCGTCAGCCTTTCGTCGAGTAGGCTGTTGGCGTCAATTGATTGTTGACCTGTTTAACCATTTCCACCACTCAGCCCAGTTTGACCTGACCTCCCGACGGGGGGGTGGGGGCTGCTCGGTGATGGGAATGAGATTGAGGGTGTGTGTGAGAGCTTCCACTTGTGGTGTATTCCATATAGTAGACTGGCACTAATGGTCGAATCAACTTATTACGGCATCGGAGGTGTTCGTCTGGGATTTCTCGGGAGCGACGGGTTGGGATGGGGAAGGTTCGTCTCTCATGTGGTCTGATCACGTACTCTCTGATCATGAGGTCGAGAAGGATCTGGAATTTAGAGAGAGAAAACAGAGTTGGGGCCGCGGGAAGGATCCACCATTGTGCAGGGAAGACACAGATGGGCCACGATCGACGGCAGGGTCGTTAAGTGCGGGACAGGGGAAAATAAGTGGTGCAAGAGAAAGAGAGAGAGGGTGAGAGTGTAGGTGATATGACACAGTCATGTTGCGTTGGGGAGAAAACAATCTTTCTCGCAGCCCGCGTATCGAGGAACAGCTAAGTAGGTCTGGTATGGTATTACTGGCGGGTACGCTGTAACGAATGTAGTAGGCCTGAATGGAGTCGAATGAGCGGGCGAGTCGTTTGGTTCACGGAGTCAGGATCGCGATGTGATACTTTGCGCCGAGACCGCGACAGCGTGGGATAGCTTCATGTTTTAGAATGATCAATCGAGACTGTACATCTCCACAGGAACTCTAGGCTCTACATCACGACCTCTCACATGGTTGAGGTCTAATGGTGCAACCACGCGGGGCAATGGTTGGTTAGACGGGCAATGTAACCGCGTAGAGTTTATTCCTTCAAAGGGAACACCAGCCCTCCATCTGCAAAAAGTTCAAGGAGGGGGGCGCTTATCCTGGGCTGATGTAGGTAGGCAGGCAGGTAGATCTGAAACCTCAGGCCAATTGACAGGCTCGCCGGTGTGATGTGATGCAGCTCGTCCTACCTATGATGAGGTTCCTCCGTTTAGTCATCGGTACGGGTGCAGTCGTGGGAATTTCCCGATGGTTCCGAGCGTCTGCCGGTTGGGCTCCGGCCGGGGCCCCCGGAGCGCGAGGTTCTTTAGCTCCCACATCAGGTGAGTTGATATTTCAGGGATTCAAAATCAAGTATCAGCGGCCATTACGTCAATACACTCGTCTCTCGTTCTTCGAATTCCTCCTGTCTCCATCCGATGCCGGAACTATGTATGTGGGAGGTGAGCGTTTGCAAGGATTTGGCTGTTGTTGGTTCCAGGTGGGGAACGGCGAAAGACGAACGGGGTGTCTGTGCATGCCGGCATTTGCTTCTTTGCCAGTCTCTAGATCCCAGGAATGCTCTGGTCCATAGAACTTCATTCCATCGTCCTGGAGCACGGCTTCCGCAGAGCGATACACGTCAGCTAAGTTGATAACGAACCAACAGTGCATTCGCAGCTCAGAAATGTTGACGTTGTGATGTCGTATGTGGCTCATGGTCAACGAAAGCTGACACTTTTTCTATGTGTTGGCCCATTTGATGGGTGACGGATGGCCATCGACGGAGTGTACGGTATACTTGCTTGGTCTAGAACCCCAAAAGCCTTTGACTCCGTGATACTTCTCCTCAGGTACACCTCTGAGTACGGACATATGCTGTGATACCTTTCGGTGTAAGCGGCTCTGGCGCTCACATAACCTCAACGTATTCTGACTCCACACTCGGCCCATCCTTCCCCACACCATACCATGTCATTGCCTATCCTCCTCGGTCAAGGAGACAAGCTAGAAAGGAAGACAAATAGACTACCCACTAGCCTCATCAAGTACCGGGGTGCTTCCCGGCAGCCCTGGGAGCGGACCTCTCGACTGCCACTTCCTTGGCGCATGCGGGTTGCATCCTGACTAAACCTTGCTTCGACTTGGCTGACTTCAAGACAAGGTCTCCTGACCGGAGGATTTTGTTGTTTCGAAGATGTTTCCTGCGATTCCCGACATCGACGGAACCTTCCATGGTTCAGTCACTGTGACTGTCCCGCCCGTCCCATCCGGCCGTGTCCATCACTGTTCGTTGGCCGGGAGGGAAGTATGAGTCCCTCCGGCATCTGAGCTGCAAGTCTTTCGCATCGCCAAGTTCCACTTGTCGGCAGGCTCGGACTTGGAGGTAGCATCAGTCACACAACGTTGAAGCCGTGATTGCACATTATGGAACCATCGAGTGGCATCTTACCGTCAATTTGTTGGGGAGGGGGCAGTTGGAAACAGAAGTATAAGACTCTCCTTCCATCCCTCTTTAGCAACTCCATCTCCCTCACACCATCACAGGCATTAAGCTTACAATATCTATCAACAGGCTTCCGCGGCTTGTGTAATATCAAACTGATTACAGTATTTTACTTTACTGACGCATTCTTTGCGAAACACTTATCACTCCCAACTCTCGATCACAGCAAAACGACACTATGGGCTTGATCCTGCAGCGAGCCAACGAGGCACTCGACATCAATTCCACCCCGGGAATTGAGGAGCAACTAAGTGTCAACGGCTCCAACTGGCTATGGACTTGTGTAGCCATCTACTCTTTTTTCTTCGTACGTATGCCCTACTAAACTTCTCCTTTATCATCTTCCTTCTGACCTCCATCATCAGCTTGGCGTCTTCGCCCTCTCATGGAAACCTAGAAGCAACGAAAAGGTCTTCCACTACCTCCTCAGCATCGCCCTCCTAGTCGGTGCCATCACATACTTCTCCAACGCCTCCAACCTCGGCTGGTCCATCGTGACCCAGGGCACGACCTCCCGCTCGGGTGCTCCGCGACAAATCTTCTTCAACAAGTACATCAACTGGGTCGTCGCCTTCCCCATAGTCAACATCCTCCTGGGCCTCGTCGCCAACTCTTCCTGGGCCACCATCGTCTGGCACATCTTCCTCTCCTGGGTCTGGGTCATCAGCTACCTCGTCTCGGCCTACACCCCGTCCGTCTACAAGTGGGGCTTCTTCGTCTTCGGCACCGTCGCCTACCTCGTCATGGCGGCGTCGACGTTCGTCGAAGGTAGCGTGGGCGCAAAGCGCGTGGGCACCCAGGGAGACTACTGGATCCTCGCCGGGTATTTCAACCTCCTCTGGCTTCTGTACCCGATTGCCTTTGGTGTCTCTGAGGGCGGCAACACCATTGGCGTCACGCCTCACTTCATCTTCTTTGGTGTTCTGGACGTTCTCATGATTCCCTGCGGCGCTGTTGTCCTCCTGCTGCTGTCCAGGAAGTGGGACTACAACGCCTTGAACCTCTACTTCACGCAATACGGCCGCGTTCCCCAGGGTGGACACTTCCCTGAGAAGTCGGCGGCTCCTGCCCCTGCCCCAGCTGCGACCCCCGCTGTCTAAAATGCCCTTGAGCCTTAGAAACATTGTGTATGGTGTCGGATGACTGAAGCCCTCATCTCGGGATACAGTTTATCGACGATCTGAACATGACAGGCAATTTCTGCTTGACGCCATGCCATTATCGGCCTTGAGTAGGCAGTCAACGAGGGAATCAGAAAGAGAACACGGAATACAATCGTTTACACAGGAGCGCCAAAGGGGTAATCCCTCATACGAGAAACACATATAATCCGGATGGCGTACGGATAGGAAATACCCTCACTCGTTTGCTTCTTTTCGCGGAGTTGGAGTACGCTGACAGAGTTTATAATGTATAATGCGGTAATCAGTTTGAGCAAAATTTATCAGCTGCTACTTCTAGATGATTGGCCTGAATAATAGCGCGGTCTTGAGTGAATCCTTGCTACTCTTCTCTTGATTGGTTTACAGTAAAGCCAACACTTCCAGGTAGAGTCTTTTTCTAATCATTGCTAAGATGTGATTCTTCGCCTTTGAGTTGCGTTCTCCGAGTCTAGCCTGTGGGACAGATTCCCTAGTAAACATTGCCTCGACCACAGCAAGGCAAGGAGAATTTGACGTGTTTCCAAAACTTAAGAGCTTGGAAGGTCCCCGATCACTCCCACATGCGAGGCTCTCGTGCAAGAGAATGAAAATTGGCCTGAATAGACGTACAACGAAGAAGGGATGTGGACGGTAATCTAGTCAGATTCCCCGAGCAGTAACCTAGGACCTTTGCACTTTGTTTGTTGTAGTCTTGAAAGATTCATGTTCCCACATCGAGCAAGCTTCCGGCCTTGGACTTACACAGTCTATATAATAGCGAACCCCCCCCCCCCCCCACTACGGATAACTTCCGGGCTGCGTGGGAGAGAGTGCCTCTTCGGTCCAAGACTCTCTCCTGGGAAATCTGCGGGTTTCACTGTGTGGTGGCTCTAGAATACCGATGCCACATTGGTGAGGAGGCGTGGAAAGATAGGAATCGGTCTAGTCGGGAGTTTGAGGTATACAATCACCTCAACCTCGTCGTCCGTAACTTCGTAATCGTAGGCCTTTATAATAAATAGGCTCAGCGTTGCGCGAAAGGCGTTATATATGGCGTGACTTCTTCTAGAAGCTTTTCGTTAAGCCTCCATCGACGGCGTCACTATTCGTCTCCTTTTTTATCCCCGTCGTCTTGCCGTTGGCGCTTCTCTCACATACTATAAAGACTAAAACTGAATGCTAGGTCGTTCTTTCAGTCAAACCATCTTCAGTTTATCTAGAACAATCTCGATTATATCACCGGTGCCGATCGTACGTCCTGTACAGAGAAGGGGCGTTTCAAATCAACCTTCGTTAATCCCCATCTCAAGCAGATCTTGAACTGAAGCTTATCGCACGAAATAGGCAGCCGTTACCCCCGTCCACTAGAGCCATGATTTTACGGTAGGAATAAGATATCTAGAAGAAGGGAACGAGACTAGATACTCGCTCGAAGCAAGGTTGAAGCACCCTTTCCCCCCACCTCGAGTAAGGCTCGTTTCTAGATGCTCAACTACTCGATGCCGAGAAGGATCTGAAATTGTTGTGGACAGAAAGGCGAAATGCGACTCGTTACATGCTTCATTTGATTCACCGTTGTCTCTTCCAAACACCCATATGGTGAATCTGTTTGAAGAGATGAGCTGAAGATATGTTACGTCATATGAAAGTTGTCTAGACTTCTTGACTACAAGATTGCGATTGGCCTGACGCCCAGATCGCAGAGCCGCATTGTTGACTACGTAGCGCATCATAGAGGCTAGATGTTATGGGAGGTAATGGATATAGTAACCTCCCTTACAGCAAATCTATGAAAACTGAAGATACAATCTGTGTATGAGCAGCACATTCACTCGGCGTCCGGTCGTAGTACTTTTAGAAAAGGTCCTTGAGTTATCTCATATCGTTGGAGGCTAACTCTCAAGCCAATCGCTCCGAAACGTGATGGACTCAACTTTGGGTATCTCACCTTTTGAATAGTATCGCTCTCGCCAATGAAGTAACTTCTCCCTGGTGAGATCTTGTTGAGTCGTGACTGGCTAAGAAGCGGATGGATCTTTTCGGTCAGGCCAATCATGATAGCTGACTGGCCGCCATGGTCGAAAATGTGAACCGCGTATCGGGATGAAGAGGAGACGATGAATCGCCATGTAGTCTCACATGCCAGGAATATATCACGAGGTATACGATGACGCCCAAAACCCCCTCCGTGTCAGCTCATTCTCTCCATCCAAGGATGTCGCAGTCCATCATCATCATCATCATCAGACAAACTCCATCTACTAGCCGTCACATCAAATCGCTTCGCCTGGAACCCAGCATTCAAGACAAGAGAGCAACCATCCGTTCGGTGTCCTCGGACGCCAGGTCTCGTCCGGCCAACCGTATCCGTATTCAAGACATACATGAACTCATCCCCCTCCAAGACTATTCGCCCCCCCAAAAAGCAACCATCACGAACCGCACCTCGCAAAAGGCGGGACTGCCCGCCGCCTGGGCCCGCGCCCGCAAACACACATAAAAAGACAAACTTCTTCCATCATCGCGTCAGGAATGTAAAAAAGCAAACACCCCAATACCCCTTCCCCAGTCGCCGAGTCCAATCCAGACCCCCCTCGGACTTTTCAAAATGCCCCACGTGGCAAAACCATCGTCCTCGAAGCGAGGAGGGTTCGTGGCATTTTTTCGCATCGTGCCATCTCACCGGTGCCCGCTGCAGGGAGGGGATTCGACCAGATAGACATTCCAATCAATCTCCGACATTGTTTTACTTCCAATCCTATCCCGCCATAGGTAAGCTTCAAGGCGGATCTCACAGCTATGTTGGGCACACTTCATTACAACCTTTCTTTCCCAATCCTTACGGTCTCCGGGTACACCATCTCTCTCTCGGTTACGTCTCGTTATCGCATGGCTAAAAGGTTACTTCAACCTCCTTACTCGGACCCCATGTCAAAGCGTCACGTCACCAGTAACCACCGACCAGAAGACATTTTGAGGGGGTCAAAGGGTCTCATGCGCTGGCGTCGTACGGCAAGCACGGTAAAGTCTATGAGATATGTAGTGTGCCTCTCTTCACCCCAATTTAACCCTGTACGTCACTACATTTTCTCCGGCAAGAATTTGACGGCGAGTAAGTCTTCTTCAACACAAGTGAAAAGAGAGTTGGTGACAACCATGGCAGAACAAGATCGAGCTGAGGCCATTTCCCGAGCCCCGTTCATAAACTCCATCATTGGTCATCTCTTAGTCGGAAAGGTTTACCAAGGTTTTGGAAAAACTCTCTCCCCCTTTCCCTTTCCCTTTCCCTGTCCCATCCCCCCCTCGTCTGTATCAATAAACTACAAAGAAGGTTTCTTCAAAGAATAAGCCTTGAGACGATTCCCGACGGGTAAGAAAAGAGAGACGTAGTTAAAACCACCCGAATCGGGGGAACAAAAGTGAGTGCTGGTCAGCAAGGTTAACCTTCCCTCGCCTCTTCGCGCCCAAGAGGTTCGACCGACGTTTTGGGCTTCTTCCCGGCAAGAACCTAGCTGCAATTATCCCAAACAACCAACAACCTTCGCAGAGCCGCTGATGGGCCCTACCTTTCTTACCAATCAAGTGGGATACCGTGTACAAGGCAAAACTCACAATGCGCCGAATTCGCTGAGCAGCACGCGAGAACGAACCGAACGTTGGGGATGGATGGGTGGATGGATGGTTGGATGATGATGATGACGCTACCTCGACCGCGCCTCGGTACATAGCATCTAGTATCACACCCAAAAGCGATCTCGGACGGCCCAGAGCGCGGATGCTCTAGGCAGTCACTGCTTCCCCCCACCTTCTCATCTACTGCTAGGCTCTCTCCTTGCTGTGAAGCTGGTGCTACACGATGCCGCCTCTTCTGGTATGCCATGACCCGCAGAGGAGGGCAAGAAAGCCGACCGATTCCAAGACATGGACGGATTACAACGAGCTTTGAGAACAAGCTTAGGTCACCTGGAGAGATGGTTCAGGCAAGTAAACCAGGCTGAAGCATATGTAAGCTAAGGGGTCTTTTGAGGCGGCGGCGGCTTTCTCGCTCTTTTCAGTATCATGGTTCGCGATTCCTTGGGTCCTGGGTTCTTGAGGTTCCCAGCGCCGAGTTAGCGCCGGTGTCAAGTTCAAGTGAGGCGTCGCGCGCGAGAGAGAGACAGATAAGGGTTTCTGGTTCTTCTGCGGCTCTCTGGGGCTTCCCTTGTATTGCGTGAGGTAGGTGCGTTGTGCTTGTGTGCGTTTCTGGACGCGGGAACAGGGCAGTACATTCAAAAGAAGCGGAAAGTCAATCCTTGATCGAGAAAAGAAGAGACAACCTTGAACCTGTGGCCCTTTCTCGGGGGGAGTTTCAAGAAAAAAAAAGTTGGTCCAGAGAGAAACGGACGGTGCTCGGGGACGAGTCTCGGGGAACCCTTGCTTGAAGAGGCAAACGGGTTCGTGCAGCCAGCCTTCATCGACATGGCATGATGTAGTCTCTCCCACATCCACTGATTTATTTACGTCTACTTGGGTGCATTCAGCCTCGACTATGATATAGAGGAGGAGAGGGAGAGAAGGATTCAAGAAGAAATGGTGAAGACCTGCAACTACAAGCGCCGAATCTGCGAGGACATATGTATACCATTCTACGCATCCATGATGGGAAAAAAAGACAGGTCTCGTCAGCAGCGGTGGGGGCACGTGCATCATGCAATGGAGATTCGGCGAAGTATTGACCTCAAAAGCTGGGACATTGTTTGCTTGCCCTCGCGTATGGTTTCTCAACCAGGGTGTGGGTGATTTCGCACCATGCTGTGCCACCGTGACGAGACAATCTGAGGCTTCGATGAGGCAGGACAGCCAACTCTACCCATTCTCTTTCGCTCATTATGCTGGCAAGGAAGACGAAGCTGCAAGATAGTTGGAGCTGGATAGACTGGCAGCGAGAAAGCGTTGACCTGGCCTCTAGGGTAAGGTCG